TGGTAGGTAACTTCAAACCTTTATTCCAGCAATGTCTGAAGAAAAGACACTTCCAATATAATTTGGCTTGTTCCCTTTCATACCTCTCTTGCTTCAATTCACGCTGGTACGCTTGATCTTTTAACCAACGCTGATAATCATTTATCTTCTGTTGCTGCCACTTATTCAACAGAATCCGAGATGTGACCCGTGGCTTTGTCGTCTCTGCTTTTGACGCCCTCCACTGCTCATATCGGCTCTTCTGCTCGGCATAACGTTTTCTAAGCTCTCTGTACTCGTCAGCCGATATCTACATCTTGGGATCGACTGTTCCAGCTTCTTTTGATTTGGTTGATGTTAGGACCTTGGTTTTTCCTTTAAATAGTCTAGCATCAACCATGTTTTGATCTCCTGGGAAAGGATCATCATCGACTTTCATTTTCTGAGGCATACCAAATTTGAGCCTCCCCTGCTGAATAGCTCTCTGTATATGCTGCCTGAAGATTCTGCATTCATTAGTGGAATGAGAAGTAGCATTATGGAACTTGTAGAACTTCTTATTCTTCAACTGATCAGGGGGTAACATGACATGACCATTGGGCAACTTGATCTGCCCTTTGTCTAGCAAGAAATCGAAGAGCTTATCTGATTTGGTGACATCAAAGTCATAGCTCTCCTCGACTCCTCTTTCCTAAGGATTTGGCACCATCACTGTCTTCTTGCCCCAATTTCATTCAGCTGCAGCAACCTCTTCTTCTTCATCTTCATAGCCATCATCGACTAACTATAGATCATAAGCTTCGGCTACTGAGGTACTCTTCTGGAACCGGGTGTCTCTGCGCATACTCTGGAATTGGCTATTAAGCGCTGCTACTCGTTAAGCCAATTGTCCCAAGTTGTCAAATTCTTGTCCCAGCAACTTTTCTTTCCACATCGGCAGCATTCCTTAAACAGCTATAGCAGCTAGTTGATCATCGACCAAGTTCAAGGAGAAGCACAAGTTTCTGGTTTCTCGAAACCTTTGAAGAAATTCAGTGCCCAATTCATTAATGTTCTGTCTTATAGTTGTTAGATCGGTAATCTTCTTTTTTCCAGTTTCAATATAAAAATATGTATGAAACTTCTCCAGGTCAGCCCAATTAATAATGGAATTGACTGGCAATGATGAAAACTAAGTGAAAGCTGGCCTTGATAAGAACAGAGAGAAGAAACGAACTCGATGGACATCCTCAACTGACGCTTCACCCAATTGTGTAAGATACCGACTGCCATATTCTATCGTGCTTGTACTGTCTTGGCTAGTGAACTTAGCGAATTCTGGGAGCCTGTAATTTGTTGGAAGAGCAACCAAATCATACCATTCTGGATATAGGCATTTGTATGAAAAGGTCAGCCCTTTTGGCTTCAGACCGAACTGATTTTTCATCATCTCAGTCACCCTCAGCAACAACTCATCAGCTTACGAATTTGGATTCTTCTGCACCTGCTGACCCATCTGTGGATTGAAATCCCGCGTGCCTTGATATGCTGGATTTGGCATCAAGTGGAGGGTGTTATAATCTGTGCCATAGTGATACCCTTGTGGAATTTCAATGTGCTGGGTCCTTTGCTGGCTTACTGCTTAAAATCTCTGATTATAGACATAAGGATCTATATCTCTACGGATCCTTTGAATTGATGGTCCTATTTTTTGAGCCGACGACGGTATATGGTCTGATGTGCCAAAGTTGATCACCTGGTTCTAATTTTGCCCCGCTGGCTGTTGCACATGCTGTACTGATGGTCTAGGATTGTACTGTGTTTGATTTGCGGTAGTTCCTTGAGTTTATTCAGATGAACCCTGAACTGTCTGGACATCACCACTACCAGCTGGTGCTGCTTCTTGATGGCTGGTACCGACTTGATTGGTCCCTTGGGTCGACGGATCTGGAATGTTGTAATAAGCCGGTCTGCCTTGACCAACTGGAAATCTATGAATCGCCTCTTTCATGGCGTTGTGGAATACGTCCACGAAAGCTTCGTTATGGCTTGACATGGCATCACGAATAGATTTGTCCACAACTTCTTTAAAGAAATGCCTATCTTCAGCTTCAGTTGTGTCCGTCTGCTCATGTAACAGAACTCTTGGTAGTGGAAATTTCTGAACAATTGTGTTGTCACATGTTTTGGTGTAGGACAACAAACATTTATTCTGAAACTCTTCTGTAGCTTTGCTGATGACACCCTTATCCCCATCAGGTAGATCTTCATAATGCAGCATAAGGATGTAGTTGTTGTTGTGAATCGCCATGATGATTGTGGGGTCCCACTGGGCATGTCAGAAATGAGTGTCGACACATAATTTTTGTCCCGTGCCGAGGACACACGCAGCAAGCAGAAAGGGTCCGCTCGATGGAGCAGATCCGCCTAGCTTCAGCGCAAGGGTGGTCAATCCTGCGCACTCCTCTCGAGACGTGCCAGTCAATTTGACCCTGTAATTGACAAGGAGAGAAAGTTCATCAGTAATTAAGGGCGGAACTTGCCGGTGTTGCCAGACAGTCCCGAATGTGCGGCTATGTGAGCCGATATGAAAGGAGATCGACTAAATAGTCGATTCCAGCATATTCATGAGAATAAATCGATTAAAACTCATTGAGTTGTATATCATTGATCGAACAGATATTAATCAATGGCAATAAGATGTCAACAACGATCGGTTTGTGCTGAGCCAATGATTATAAGTAACCGAACCCTTTTTATATAAAGAAACAATTCAACATCACTTAACTATTTAATAAAGATAAATCTAATGAACATGTTAGATCTCATCCATCACTATGACCAGTGGGCATGAGGCAGATTCATGCAGGCCGTAGAAATAACAATAGATTCGACAACCCTAACTCATTACTAATATCAGTGGGACATGAGGCAGAATCATGCAGGCCGTAATACAATAATAAGATCATGGGGCTAACATATCTTTCAACCTATTTTTACTTCAACGGTCTCGTGATACGAACTGTTCGTGAAAGCGCTCGATATCGGCTAAAACAACCGATTCAGGCATAGCGCACAGCTAAAGTCATGTCTTATCAGGAATAGATCTACTAGATAACGATTCCTACTCCACGGTGCTAACAGTGGGGTGTGAGGCAGAATCACACATGCCGTGATAACGGGTTATGGAACGGTTCTCGTTAGCCAATAAATCTACTCAAGACACAACACGTCTTAACCACACGCTATGCACGATTAGGATTGACATAAAACATCTGATAAAATATAACTCATCTTTTAAGTTGCAGATTAGATCAATTCAGATTAGCAAACGATGGGTTGAACAAGATATAAGGCCGATCTAGATCAATCCCAATCGGGCAGAGTGATATTGCTGTTATTAGATGAATAATGAAAGCAATAAGCAATATCGGTAACTTAATGAATCTACCAAAGACTGATATTCTAAGGTAGAGCCGATAACTTGACCTTGATCTAATTCAAGCAGTGGGGTGTGAGGCAGAATCACACAGTCCATACTTGAATTAAACAAGAATCGATAACTAACTTATACCAGAGTCGTAGTGGAGGTCGACCGGATCGATCAGCCGTACGAACAGAGGTATAAGCCATGACGGTACTTACAACAAGCAGTGGAGGTCGACCGGATCGATGTAGCAGTCGTACTTGCTGAAGAACCCACCGAGATCTACTCTACTCCTACTTCTAAGGGGTGGCCGGAGCCTAAAAAAGTAAATAACTTGTATATTGGATTGATTGGTTGTCCTTTATAATAGTCGGGGCTTAATATTTATACCCGGGACGTGCGCACGATTCCTGTCTAAGCACGACTCATCACAATTTTTGACCCCAAAGAAAATATTCATAATTTAAGATAACTTGGACTCTAATCTTTTCCTTTTTTAGAGTCCAGCATGTTTCGTCTTGGTGCCGAATCATAGCCTTTGTCGTTATCCGCTGGCGCTATCTGAAGAAAGCCGATTCTAGTTTTCATATCTGAATCAGCTACACGTAATTGATTCCTTGATGACATGATCTTAGGAGCTTTTGAGTCCCTGTGACTCTTCTTCTAAATTTTGGTGTAAACAGACACAAATATGGACATTTGCAACAAAGTTTAAATGATGCCTCCCCCTTTTATTTGTGAATGCATAAATTTGAAACTTTAACTGAATTCAGTGTCATACTTTTTTTTGTTAATTGATGAATCGAGGATAAATGCATGCATTTTTTTTGCATAGCTCTAGGAAATTGATGGAGAACGTTCGTCTAACCTTCCGATAGTAGGTAGGGTAAGTTTGATTGACGGAGAATTTGATGTTCACGATTTGGATATTCATGTAATGATTCGAATCCCTACAATTACTACACTGTTAAAAACCCACTATCCCCGCATCAAGGAAGGTATGTATGATTTTGAATCGTTTGTTGGTTATTTCTATTGAAAAGGTGTCCTTAGTACAATGATGTTTTTCCCCCTAAAAAAACTAGACCTAAGCCGAAGGAAATCCGGGCTAAGCAATCAAGCCCCCGATGAAAGGAAATTAATCAACTAGTCCTATTAACTCTTATCTATAGAGTAATTAACTAACAACTAGTTTATAACTAATGGACTAACGACTATTGTGTTTATTTGCATCCTTATAAACTAAAAATTAATCAACTGATTGTTAGTCCTAATGGATCAAATAGGGTCATAATCGATTCTCAAACGCTTGGTCGCTCCTTTTTTTGAACATTCAGCTTGGGTGTATTAACAGCCTAAGACTTTGTTTGGATGCACATGTATCTACCTCAATCCACATATGTTGGAGTGGATTAGAGTGGAAAGTGGATTGAGGTAAATACATGGACATCCAAACGAGCCCTCGCACTAGGAACAGGGTCACACGGCTAAAAAAAAACTATTTTGATTCGCATAATACAGTTTGTGAAATAACAATTAACTTTCTGCTGAATACGTACATATATAGATGCCTATTTCTATGCTGAATTGGCAGTATTGGCGTCGTACCATAGCACTAGCACGTCCAAGTGTATATGGTATCCCCAAAATGCCAACGCCCGCGATCAACAGTATGGATATTCATTAGTTTCTGATCAATCGTCTCCGTGCCATTGCCATCTTCTGCCATCATCCGTTTCAAAGAAACCGTACCGGAAGTCTTAGTTATTTCTTCTAAAGTCATGCTCTTGATTGAGTTCTTGGAGCTTGCAAATAATAATCTCACAAGGTCCATGTCCTCGTCCGCTCCTCCAAAACCGATTAGTTTCACGTCTTCTAGTGATTCCAAGGAGATCGCCTGGTGATCTGTCCGTGCATAGTGCTCATCACAGAAGAAACGCATCCGGCGTGGCATTGGCATCTGCAGACAAAAAAAACGTAAGTAACGAAGCAAGGTGCGTTTAGTTTGTAATTAATAACGTATACGTGTGTGTGTTCGTTGTGTTTTCCATGGGAGTAGTACTTAGATAATTCTAATTTAATAAAAGAAACTTATTATTACCCAGCTTGCTGTATCTGTATCAAAGATCCTAATACTCAACGATGTCAGGCGTGGGCACCTCAGAAGCAGCGCAAATATACTTGGCACTAGTTGACAATCTTGAAGCTGATGTGCGCTCACGGTGATATCCATGCTCCTAACACTGGCAAATGGCGCCGCGCCTTCCACCGTCAAATCAACAACAATGTCACCCTCGATGACACTGCTAGGAGACGGCTGATGTTCAAGCCACACGCCTACGTGTTCAACGCTAGGGCACTTCTCCAATAGCCAGAAACCAACGTCCGTGCTGCGAACATAGTATTGGCCATGCATGTTTAGATGAAGACTGCTGAGCCGGCAAACACTTGTTAGGTCATGTATCTCCAGGTCCGGACGGCGAAAGCACGAATGTTAGGCGGGGCGCGTCCACGCGGCTTGGTTGGGCCAGCCTGCTGTCTCGCGAAGGGGAAGATGGGCCGTGCGGGGAAGGTGGGAGCGGGCCTGCTCGGTGGAGCCGAAAGAGGGAGCTGCTCGGGCTGGGCTGCAGGGAGAGAGGAGAGAGAAAGGTCAAGCTCGGTGGAGCCGAAAGAGAGAGAGAAAGGCCAAGCGGGCCAAAAGCCAGGGAAGGAAACTTTCTCTTTTGATTTTGTTTTTCTTTTATTTCAAAACTATTTTCAAAACTTTTCAAAAGAATTTGAATTTATTTTGAATTTTAGTCGAAACCACTCTTCACAATAAATCAAATACACCAGCATGTATGCACTATAATGTTGCTAAGCCTTATGATAAGTTTTAATTTAATGACAAGATTTGTTTTCCTATATTTTCATGAGCACATAAATACAAAATTAATTCAATTTCTCTCTATTTCAAAAGGAGCAATTTTTAGGGTGTTACATGGTGGCTTATTCCAATCTCCTGTAGCCTCAACGACGCGATTCTGCAGGTCCTGCTGACATTGACGTGCTCCTCCTCGTCGTCGCTCCCATCGTCAAAGCAGTACTCTAGCTCGAGGACGCGAAGGTTGCGTGCGGTTACGTCCAGCACTCATAGGTCCTCTGCAGATCTAAGCTTAAACGTTTCGAGAGCCTCGGAGCGGATGGCAAGCAGGGCCAATCCTTTGAGAAAGGTGATGTCAAGTTTACGCAGGCGAGGGCAGCAAGACGACACAAAGTCTCCAAGGGTATGCCCGGCGCTGCTGCACTCCTCGCCGAAGAAGGACGCACTGCAGAGCTTGAGCTCTGTAAGCGCTTCGTACTTGGCCGACGCAGCCGCCGGAAGCTGGAACCTGTAGCATGATGTTAGGAACATCGTGATAGACGTCATCCTGCCACGGTCGGGCAACACGACAGCCGGCCCATCCACCCGGAGGGGTGACGTGTGCGTTGCCCTTGGGATTGGGAGGACAAGACGAAAAGATTTGACGACGTGCTGCATGTCATAGCGGAGCCACCTGTTTGTTGGCCCATAGGATCACAGGCTCAGCTGAGTGAACCACTCACCAGTCTTGCCGAGCACCCACTAGCCGTGCCGATCACGAACAAGTGTTGTCCGTCCCCACACGCTATGGCTAGAGCTAGAAGAAGAAGGAAGAACAGAGCATGCACACACAGTACAAGACATCAGCGTTGGCCGAAGCCCTGTCTGGGAGATGGCAAATATGAACTCTCTTTACTGAGTTACCGTGGTAGTCTATTTATACAACTCTATCCATCTAGTCCTAGTACAGCGTACATGCTGTAACAGTAACTAGGTAACATACAGGGCTGACTCTGCGCCGGCCTCTGCATGTGGCTACAGTGCTGCAGGTGAGCCGTGCGGCACCTGCACCTACAGCGGCTACAGTATCACAGCAAGGGGCCTTTCGGCGCCGTCTTCCCTTGCTGTGTTCACACAAGGTAGCAGTAGATTATCTAATAATCTTTCCCTAATCATACTGCTAACCCTTGTATCCTCTCCATGTCGATCATCTCCTTCAGCTCTAGCCATAGCGTGTGGGGACGGACAACACTTGTTCATGGTCGGCACGGTTAGTGGGTGCTCGATAACACTAGCGGGTGCTCGGCAAGACTGGTGAGTGGTTCACTCACCTGAGCCGGTGATCCCGTGGGCCAACAAGTGGTATCAGAGCCAGGTTGGTATCAAAGTCATATAAGCGTTGTCGTCAGACTAACCGCTGGCGATGACGGACGGTTCGGAGATGGGCAACAGCAGTGGCACTGCTGTGGCTGCCCAGCCACGACCGGAGGTCGTTGTTCGCACGGTGCAGAAGGTCAGCGGCACCAGTTGGCCGACACTGACTCGCACCAACTATGGAGAGTGGTCGGTGACCATGAAGGTCAAGCTCAGAGCCCGACGGCTCTAGAATGCTGTTGACAAGGGCAGCGATGATGAGGAGGATGACATGTCAGCGTTGAAGGCTATCCTCGCTGTTGTACCGGCGGAGTACAGGGAGCCGTTGGGGGCGAAGAGCTCAGCTAAGGAGGCATGGGAGGCTATTGCGGCGATGCGCGTCGGTTCCGACCGTGCAAAGAAGACGACGGCCCAGCTTCTGAAGCAGGAGTACGCCAACCTCAAGTTTAAGAATGGTGAAACGGTGGTGGACTTCTCCCTCCGCTGCAGACGCTCATCAGCAAACTGAAGATCCATGGTGTCACCATCGACGAAGAGGAGGCGATCTCCAAGTACCTCCACTCCGTGCCGGCAAAGTACATCCAGATCGCTCTCTTCATAGAGACGATGCTGGACTTGTCCACCCTCACCATTGAGGATGTGATAGGCCATCTGCGGGCGGTGGACGAGCGTCTAGAGTAGGCGACAACAACGAAGGACAGCGGGAAACTTCTGCTGATGGAAGAGGAGTGGGCTGCTCGGAGGAACTCGGGAAGGTAGCCTCCTCCAGCTGCGGTGGCGATGACACTTGTTGGCCTACAGGATCACCGGCTCAGGTGAGTGAACCACTCACCAGTCTTGCCGAGCACCCGCTAGTGTTGCCGAGCGCCCACTAGCATGGCCGACTACGAACAAGTGTTGTCCGTCTCCACACGCTATGGTTAGAGCTAGAAGAAGGAGAGAGTTCAGATTTGCCATCTCCTAGACATAGCTTCGGACAATGCTGGTGTCTTGTACTGTGTGTACATATTCTGTTCTCCCTTCTTCTTCTAGCTCTAGCCATAGCGTGTGGGGACAGACAATACTTGTTCGTGGTCGGCACGGCTAGTGGGTGCTCGGCAACACTAACGGGTGCTCAATAAGACTGGTGAGTGGTTCACTCGTCTGAACCGATGATCTTGTGGACCAACACTGTTGACCTTCTCCTGCGAGGTGTACACAAGCGAAAATCTGGACATGCTGATGCTGAGAGCTTCTATATCAGCTTCACCTCGCTGAGCTAACACCCAATCCACGAACTGGCCTGGGTCAGCGCCGGGTCTCACTTGGGTGCCCAATAGCGCCAGTTGCTGCGCATAGATCCACACGCGCCGCCATCGCCTGGACAGCGCGGCCGTGCGCGTGACGGCCTTGGCGTCGCGCACGAAGCTCAGGATGAAGTGAAGCAAATCGTCGGGGAGGGCACTGATCCGATCGACATCTCCAACCGAGGCCATGGGAAGCGCGGCGGCCGTGCAGAAGCTAGCACGGTAGCACGTACTCCGATCCTACACCGTAGGCGAGATTATAGTATCCGTAAGGCCCAAAAGACAAAGCTGATAACAAATCAACAAGACTTGTATATATATGATATTATGATTGATGAGGAACTCCAGAGTAATCATGAGAGGAATATAATCGAACTGTGTGCCTTGTTGTACTTGTATTCCAAATTTTCCAACTAGTAAACCGAACGTGACTCTAGCTATTAAGTCTCGATCCCTGATACGAAATTACGAATCATCCTTCGCTTAAAAGCTCCCGCGTCTGTATTCTACTCGGTTTCGATACAAATCGGATCCACGTGTCTGCATCCAATACGAAGTTCTCAGGTGCATCCAATACACAGTCCTCAGGACTCACACGTCCGCCTCTAATTATTAAGATTCAATAAAAAAATTCGTAGACCTAGTGCAATGCAAAGAGAGGAGAAAACAAAAAAAGAGACGATATAAAGATTCTATCCATTAAGCTAGGTATACTTTAGGGGAAGTATTTTACTTTTGCTCTATGGATAACCATGGTGAAATCAAGAACTTGACCTCGTGCCTTGTCCGGTCTTTTTTTTTTGACCGGAGATATGGATTTGTTGGCACATGTGTTTGATATTTAGCTCTAATATATGGCAAACAACTTATTATGACTTAATTATTTGTCTTTTTGCGCAGCTAGGGGAATATAATATTTATTATAACGTCAAAGTATCTTGCATATTAGGTTCCGTAAGGCTAGTCTTAGCTGGCCCTCCTATATGTTGAAAACAGTGTAGACAAATTTTTTTTATAAAACTTATTTCACCCCGTAAAACTTCCATCACATTTCTTTGTATATATACTATGTCATTCATCTTATTTAATGGTCATAAAATAAAACTCCTATAAAATCCAAGTTCCCAACTGAGACTGGCCTGAGAGAATAAGGTTCTTGCGTCGTTCTTGCTACCATCTCCCCCTTAAGGATCACTCTTGCTTGTATGTTTTGTGCCATTATCCTCTACATGTGTACGCGTGTACTTGGTTAATTGGTAGTTGTGAGATGCTAATGGCAGATGCTAACTTTTTGTTAATGTCCTGGAAACTGAAGGTTAGATGTAGAAAATACAGATCTTGCGAGTATTGCGAGTATGGCAAGGTGACAAAATGCTAATGACACGATGGACGATCTCTTTTGCCCTTAATCCTAGATAATATGATGAGAAGTTACTTTGCTAAATATTTCTATAAACGGTTTGGTTACTAAAGAAGCCATTTTTCTGGAGTCAGAGGCAGAGCCTTGCCACAAGAAGACTGATGTGGTAAAAATCAGACCAATCCATTTTCAAGCTAAGCTTCAATGGACCTGTCTCACCCCCCCGACCCGTCCCTCCCACCCCACGAGACCGCCCGCTGCAAGCCCTGCGCCGGCGAGCCACCAACCAGCAGCAAGCTCTCCCCTTCCAGACCCAAATCCGAACTCCCCTTGCCTTGATCTATCGATCCATGGAGTTTGTGGATAGGTTCTGCCGCTCCCTCGCGTTCCCGTGGCTCCGGAGCCCCGCGCCGTCCCCACAGCGGCCGGGCCAGGATCTGCCGCCATAGCCGCCCCTACGCCTTCCACACCCCGAGCAGCTGTTGTCACGCACCTCGGCCACAGCGAGGAGGTCGCGCCCAAGACGGTGGAGCAGCTGATGGAGGACGAGTCGCTGGTCCTCGTTGAGGATGTCGTGAAAGGCGGGTGAAAGGATCAAGATGCCCAAGAGGAGGGTGAATTGGACTAATTCTAAATTTCTTGCAATAATTAAACCCTACACTTAGCCCATTTCACCCCCTTGTTCCTAGAAGTGTTTCTATTGTTCTACCGCACAAAAGTTTTGAACCTTAGGTTCTAATTCTACTATAGCATGGCAATTCTAAGAATGTAAAGACATGAATTGAATTGCTTAAATGTAAATGCTCAAAGTAAAGAGAGGGAGAGGAACGCGATGATGTTTTTTCGAGGTATCAGAGAGTCACCACTCTCCACTAGTCCTCGTTGGAGCATCCGCGCAAGGGTGTAGCTCCCCCTTGATCCACGCAAGTATTAAGTGCTCTCTACGGGCTGATTCTTCGTCCCTCTGTCGTGGTGAATCGTCCACAACCGCTCACACCATGACTTGGGCCATCCACAAGCTTCGCCGGATGATCACCAAACTTCTAATCACTACCGGGCCGTCTACGTGATGGTGATCACCAAGAGTAACAAGCACAAACTCTCACTTGACCAAGACAAGCCTAATAAAAAAGGTGGATGCACACTTGCTACTCCCTATGCACTAATAAGGTCATTAATCTTGGATTATCAAATCTCAATCACCCCACTAGGCTCTTGCTCTCCCTTGCACTCCAAAGGTGTTTCTCAGCGGAACAAATGGGCAAGAGAACTAAGTTGGATGAGTAGGAGAAGTATTTATACTCCCCCATTCAAAATATGACCGTTACTGTTCAACTCAGCAAAACACGAGGTGAACGGACGTGCTGGTCAGTGGCCAACGGCCACAAACACGTCAGCTATCAGACTTGACCGTTAGAGTGACATGACGCTGGTCAACGTTCGGTCAGCGTCCACCTAACGCGTCCGGTCAAGAATTATCCTCTCTGGACCTTCTCTGTTGTTGACCGGACTCTGCAAGCCTTGCATCCGGTCACTTACCTACCAACGTCCGGTCCAGTCAACAGCAAGTCCATGCTTCTATAGTTGCGATCATCGGTGCATCCGATGAACATTACTGTTCAGCGTTCGGTCGCTATCTGACTTCTGCTGCTGAGCAAATGAACTGACCGGTCTTGCACTGCTGCGTCCGGTCACTACCAAACCAGCGTCCGATCAATAAATGAGCACTCCATTCACTTCCAATTCAACATCTTCGTGAATGAGTTTGTCTCCAATCGATCTTAGGGCAAACCCTGAGCTACCTAGTGCTAAGTTTGACAAGTGTGCACCACACATAAACCACTAAACTTACCTAGGTCAATCTACTCATTTATACCCCCTTAATAGTACTGCCAAAGGAAAAACAAAGTCCTAAACTACTCTAAGTGTCTCTCCAATGCCAAACGACACTTAGAACTAGTACATCCTTAACCTTGTTGTCCATTCTTTGAAAACCAAAATGATTTTCATCGATAGGGGTATGAAAACCATAATTGCCCAAACAATCATCATTACCATGACGTAACTCAAATTGTCTCTACAAAACACATGTTAGTCACAGTAATCGTGTGTCGTCATTAATCACCGAAACCCAACTAGGGGCCTAGATGCTTTCAATCTCTCCATTTTTGGTGATTAATGACAACATTACCTCGAGTATGTGTATAAGAGATGGGTGAGGTTTTCAACATGCTTGGTTCATATAAGCATTTGACAATAAGAACAAGGGGGTTAGACATGCTTATATGACCCAAGCCAACACAATATACTCATAAGATATGAATTAAGCATGAGTACAAAATATAAAGCTCATTTGAATCGGAGTAGAACGCATGGAAGCTAAGCAAATGAGCATAACCAAGTGACATGATATAAATATATCAAAGTAGAGAACACACATGTCACATAAGTCTCACAATCACACATATGTCACATATATCACAATGCATGAAAGTAAACATGAATGCATGAAGTAGCACATAAAAGAACGACTCCATCTCACAGGCTCCCCTAAGTCTAACATGTCTAACATACTCGCTCCCTCTCCCCCTTTGGCATCAAGCCCCAAAACCTAAGGGTCGATCAGCGGGACAGGAGCAGACGAGTCGGGCACTAAGGTGCGGTGAGAGATCTGAAATTGAGTAGCATCATTATCTAATCTAGACTCGGAACTATCAAACCGGCTGGAGCAATCGGTGGCTGATCCTCTGACTCTAAAGTAGAAAGTGGAGCGGTCTGGGTCTGCCCTCACGGTCTCAGTAACTAGGTCGGCTAGCTAAGATGTAGAAGCTAAAGCTATAGCCTGACCCCATGGCTCTAAAGCTGTCTTTGTAGGAAGTGGAGCCACAACTGCCTCTGTCGCTGTCGCTGAAGCCTCAAGAGTAAGGGTGACTATGGTAGGCGATTCTGACGAAGCAACAGAAGATGGGAGAGTCTCTATCATCCCAGTAACTAGAGCGGCTAAAGTAGGAGCAAGGACTCGAAACTCTAGAGGTGTAGGCTGTCCTATGAGCTCACTGAAGGTAGCACCCAAACTCCTAGAGACTAGAGCGTTTGTCACTAGCATGGACTCTGACTAAGTAGGAGTGAAGCCCATAACTATAGGAGTGAAGCACTGAGCCTGCTCTGTCCCTGGTGAAGTGAACCACTAAGACACCTACTCGAAAGGTGAGGTAAACTATGCAGTCGGCTATCCCTGACTTTGAAGCCCACCGGGCTATATAGCTAGAGTCACTGGGGTAGTAGTAATAGTCTTATCGATCTGCAACGTAGGCTAGAAAGGAGCAATTCCTGTAGTCGAAAGGACATGCTGCATGAAACCAAGAAGCTGCTACTGAGTGACTAGCTGCTGCTGCTGAATGGCCTGCTGCTGCTACTAGAACTGATCCTGACATGCCTGCACCTGAGCAATGGCAGCTGCTGTCTCCTCTGCCGCATGCGCTCAAGTATAGCTAGCAAGGTGGGGTCTATCTACGGTGGCTATGGTGGAGCTAAGCTAGAGCCACTGGCCTCTCTATTGTGTATGCACGTGGTGGCATATGCAGGATAGGCCAGTAGTCTTCGTCTGAGCTATCAGTCGGGTTGCTCTCAACCACATCCTCCTGTTGTGCCTCTAGCTGCACTAGCTTGGTCTCAACAATGGCCTTGATGGCATTGTCTTGCTCAGCTATAGTCTCTAGCACCTCTGGTCTATGGCTTGCCTGGCTAGAAGTCCACCTATGACTGTGATGAAATAGCTAGCTCATGTCGTACTTTGGGAACTCTATAGTAGCACCACTCCACTCAGCCA